CCATCCTACTCGAAATAGATAAACGACCAATAATTTAAAATTGAAGTGCCGCATCGCTTCTTTGAATCGGTGTCGGTATTCTTTGAGGCCCTGGTGTTAAAAAAAAAACAAGGTGAAGATTTGCATCATGTCGAAAGACATTCTGTTTTTGATTATATGTGCCCTTAGGATCCCAGATTGTGTTTATGAAGGAAATCAACGCTGAATGCTTTTGTTATGATGACAATATTCAAAGGGGGTATCTGCACACCTGCTGGCTCCCTTTGAAATTTCAGTGTTCTAATGAAAGCCCAGAGGCTGGTTAAAAATAACAATGGGGTTCTACTTTTATCTGCTTGCAATAAATGCAATTTGGGAAGACGTGCCAAATCTTAAAGAGTCTGAAAATGCCCAAGACGTGTCTAAACCAGGAGATCTGACTTGTAAAAGAATTAATCAGCTGTATGTATTAGCAACCTCGTATCGGATGTGAAAATAAAAGCAGAGGATCCTGCAAACCGTGGTGACTGGAGCTGCCATGCCTGCCATAGAAACCTGTTTGCTAAATTTGATTCAGTGAACCCTTCTTTACACAAAGGATTGTGGGAGTGGGGAACAAGCGCCCCAGCCATGTTGTTGATATCCTGCTCCCTTTCTAGTGAATGAAATCCTTGGATCAGTTAACCACTAGCCACCAGGGTGCTTCAGTGGCCTCCTCCTTTTATAGGCTTCACATCTAGCCTGTACCTTTTTCTTGGTTTACGCTTTTATTCCTGCAGCACATTTCAAGACTTTAGTGTTGAAGTTCATGTATAGTAACCTCTTCCACTAATCTAATAGTGAATGTGTTTAATTAATTCTAAGATGTGGCATGTCCCATAAATTGTGATCTGTGAAGTAAGCTACGTTTTGTGTATAAGACATGCGTAGTTAGTATTTGTATTGGGCACAGTGCACTTTAGAGCTTATCATGTGATATCTGATGAGGCAGCACTGCACAGAGCAACAGAAATCTGAAAAGTTAAACTTGAAGAACCTCAAGATGGGACATCTGCCCTGAAATAACAATACAGGGATCCTCAAGTTTCACTGTGGCCCCCTTGCTCTTTTTCATTTGTTTGTAAAATGACTAAAAATAATCATGCTCAAAACAGTGAATGTATTTAGTAGCTGTTTGTCTGAAAAAGAGAAATTGTGCCAGGGATAAGTATGAATTTCTCCAAACCATAAGAACAAGCCGGCAGTCACCCTTCTTGCCCGATAGGAATTTCCAGTAAGAGCAAGTTTAGACTTCAACTGTTTATCATCAGATTCATGTTGTTTTTTACCTTGGGATTTTCTTATCTTGTTAATGTGTGGAGTCTGAATGAATTTGTGAGACCTGGTATTTTAGATCAGGTAGAAAAATCAGTGTGGGAGAGGCCCAGTTTAAGAGATGCTGGAAAAAGAAAGGAAGTTTAGTCTTCCATTAACATGATAAATGAAAATAATGTGAGTAATATACGATAAGAGATAAGGAGTATCATAGGGCAAGTTTCAAGGACATATTATTAAAATGCAATGTGATACTTATTGGTCAGCGAAGCGAAGTCCAAATTAAGATTCCCATACAAGGAGAGTTTCAGTGAAGTCCAGTACCTACAATGAGAATGGATTTACAACAAAGTATCTTAGTTCATGGACCTAAGAATAAACAACTAATCATTGTCCTTGAACAGGACACATTGCACTATGGATGAGTAGAGTCTACTAATGGGATATATTTTCCCTTCTGATTAAGTTGGCATGCTTATATTTTCAAAGCATATTTGCAAGCAAGGGCTTTGTGGCCTATAAGCATATGATTAATGTTTTGATTCTTTTCTTCTGTTTCCTGAATATTCTTTTCCATGTATATCCGAATGTTTCACCTGTTTTCAAACAGGACAGCTGGACATGGGAAATGCAGACACACAACATTGGAACCTCCGAAAATCTCACATTGCTGATTGTTTTTTATTCAACACAAACCCAGTTTGGACTTGCAAGCAGTGTAAGGCAAAGCCATAGGGACCGTTAGCTGCAGAGGGAGAATGAGGGCCCTGCAGAACTGCTCCTTCAACATGCCCGCAAAGATCCCTCTCTGCCTGACTTCTGCGAGCTTGGTAGGAGAGTGTGCAGCAGGTGGAGCGGTGGAGCTGAGGCCATTGCACGACTGCAGGAGCCCCTGTTTTACAGAACACCCAGACCCTGGTTCGCTGCCCCCGCCTATCCGGGAGTGCTGTATTAGGTGTGCAGTCCTGACTCTGGGTCCCAGTCTGTCAGTGAAAGCCTTCACCTGCTGTGGCTCCTGGGAGGTCCCATTTCTCAAAATCTAATTTTTCTGATGAATGTGGGTCCAGTAAATACATAAATAAATAAAGAGGCTTCGCTGACCAATAAGAATTTTTTACTCCAGTTAATGCATTCCTGAATAACTTTGTCAGACGGAGATCCGTCTGTAGCCGTGTGTATTGCCAGGATTGACATGTTTCTTTTTGTCTGCGATATGGAATTTAACCAGATTTGCTTATTTTCCTGTGTTCCAGCTGCTAATAGCTGTACAGCACCTCACATATCCAGCTGTAAAGAGTGCCTGAAACAGGGAGCAGAATGCGGATGGTGTTTCCAGGAGGTGAGATGCAGGACGTGTTTCTGTTCTCACCGTAAGCCTTTCGGGGAAGTAAAGCATAACCTGGCACTAACCTGTGGAAGGGCACAGAGCAGGAACTCTTGTTTTTCATTTATTTTCTCTTTGGTGATTAGTCAGCTATCTTGACCAAACCGCTGCCTGTTCACATTAAGTGAAACTGTACCTCTGTTTAAACAAAGGTAGGCCTTGAGGTCTGAGAAAAGTGCCTGTGTGGGTTTAGCCCTGTGTTCCGTAATGAGGGATTTTCCAGCTTTGAGGGCCATGCCTGATCAGCTACCAGAAATGTGGGGGTAGCTGTGAAAGAAATGAAGTGAATAATCAGAGGGCAAGCACAATGCAGTGTTGAGCTGATTCAGATCTGTATTGTGACTGGACAGAGAGGGAGCACAGTCCTTGTGTTTGGCTTTCTCATCCATCTGGCACCGCGTCAGCTGCAGTGTACTCGAACACGCCAGTAATTAGGACTTGGTCTGAAAGAAGCGGGGAAGTACTTCTGTTCTGTGTTGCTTGCTTCTGGGTTTGCTATGTTTCTTTTTCAGTTCCGTTTCATTTTTTCTATTGCTTCAATCATCTGTATTCCTTTATTTAAATAAATGTTTAACATGCATCACGGAGCTCATGAGGACCCTTGCTTCCTGGTCCAGAAATGTTATTTTGCACACATTCTAATGTTGCAGAACTTGAAAAAGCTAATTATGGAAAACCTAACCACACAGCTTGAATGATGCTCCTGAAGTACACCTGCTTCAGACGTGAAACTTGGAAGAAAAATACATTTTACAAAGAACAACACTGTATTTATCCAATGGATTCCAGAAAGAAAGCAATGCTAACGTTTAAACCATTGTATTATGTACAGTATGCTATGCAGTTGCTTTACTGTGACCTTTTATCATACAGTATTAATTTAACAGTTGTCAGATTCTAATCTCGCACTTTCACTCTCAGCAAGTAAGTGGGCATACTTGCTGGCTGCCCGCAACTCTGTGCAGATCTACAGATGCAGAAATGAACATCACTTTACATGTGTGATGCTTTTGCAACTTTGGTCACTGTGTTGGTAAAATATATACAAGAAAGATTTCTGCTATGGAATCAGAGCAACCAGCTCCAGTCACGGAGTTAAAGAAATGTCCTACACTGACGAACAAAAAGACAAACAGTACATATTTTTTTCAGTAGCTCGATCTGATCTAAATAAATGCGAAGAGAGATGAGATATGCGGAGTGTATTTGGTGTAGCTCTCCTGGCTCCGGGAATCTGGCAGGTGTGCAGACCTCGCTGTCTGTATTGCGAGGAATGAGCCAGGGTGCTGCTGCAGGGGTGCAGATGGGGTGGCAGGAGGGGTACGAGAGAGAGATGCTCTATGGGAAGTCCCGGTGCGAGACGTCTATACGTAGGCGAGAGGAAGTATGTGAGATTAGAATCTAATCCTCCCAAAACTGTGTTAGAAACTCCATTAATCTTGATGAGAGAAGACTGTAAGGGGATTTGAATCACGTTTTCAGAAACGTCAAAGGCGCAGAGTGACAAAGTCCACCCGGCGGATTTCTTCAGAATCACAGTGGAAACTTCGTGGAAGGGCTTTTACCCAAGAGACACTTCTTTACACCAGAGATTGTGGGAATACGCAACAGATTACTCAGCCACGTCACTGGAGCCCGGATTTTAGAGAGATTAGATCTAGAGAGTTTTCTTAAGAAACGTGTGGGTGAGATCCTCAGGTCAATTAACTAGCAATTGAGCTAGATGGGCCCAATGGCCTCTTTGTGTTTGTGACCATGTGTTCTTGTTGGCCTGAAATTATTTCGTGATGACTCTATTCTAGGAACCTCAAGAGAGCACCTTACAGAGTGTCACTAGCACAAAGCACCTGCTTATCACATCTCTTGAGATGGCACTACTAGTCAGCTTGTCCTTACTGAGCAATGGCACGTTCCTGGCAGACCTCTCTGTGTTGGCTTGTGCAGTCCTTTCAGCTAGAAGGTGCGAGTGGGGTCGAACAGGTGTTCCAGCTCCTGGGAAGTGACTGTAAAATTACAGCTAGAAATATTTCTTTAGGTTAGAATTGTTTTGATTGAAACAGGTTTTCCCTTGAAAGGTTATTTAAAATGTGAAACCCCCCTCCATCTTCATCTTTCTCCCCTTCCCCGCTTCTCCATGGCTTCGTTTCCTACCTCTCAATGATAAAGGCGGACAGACACTGTACCTGCCTCAAGAGCCTTTTCTGTGTGTTCATGCTTCTACTCAATATGCAATTTTATTATGATATTACAGTAACGGGACACTGTTTTCATAAAATATCACATAAGAACTAGCAGTGATAGACAATCTCAAATAGGAAACTTTCAGTCCTAATGGCGTTTTCTAGTCATCTTCCCTCTAATGCCTTAATTTCCACTGAATCCAATGCAATGCAGGGATCTTCAGGAACGCAGTTGCAGTATCACATTGTGGCACAACTGACTGTACTGAGAAGTGATTCAGAAACACAAGGTGCAGTGTCAAGACACTGACACTTCGCTCCCTGTTAAGATTCTTTAAAAAAGGGACTTTGTCCCCATGAGCAAGCTTTGAGGACACAGTTAAATACAAAGTCAGCTAGTCTTATCTGGACAAGTTATATGGAGCAGTGCCATAAACATGCCATGACGCTGCTTTTATCCACTTTAACAGGGCTTCCTTGACGGAGCTCCAGTGAGCGAAAGATGTGACCTGATTTCCAACCTGGAGAAGAAAGGTTGTGCGTTAGATTTTATCGAACGTCCTTCAGTGAAGGTGGTGGTAGATGCCAGTACGTCAAGCACACAGGTGACCCCGAGAGATGTCACGGTACAGCTGTGGCCAGGTTGGTGTTCTTAATTTTTCACTGAAACTAAGAATGGACCTTTTCAAAGGCCCTGATGCTTTTGAAAACAGTATAGCTACAGTATTCATTGATGTTGGCATGTGTGGATCAGCCTTTGTCTTTTTCTAATGTACTGTATGTTTAAATAAATCTGTGCAGATGCACACATGGCTCACCAGTCTGTCAGCAGTACGCATGTTTTTATTTCCATCTAGGCAGGGAAGCTAGCTTTGTTTTGCAAGTGCGTCAGCTCGAGAGGTACCCTGTGGACATGTACTATTTAGTGGATGTGTCTGCATCAATGCAAGACAATTTGGACAAGCTGAAGACTGTGGGGATTGCTCTGTCGGAGAAGATGAAGGAGCACTCCACTGACTTTAAGGTTGGCTTTGGATCGTTTGTCGACAAGCCTGTTTCACCGTATATCAATGTGCATCCTTCTAAAATCGACAACCCATGCAGGTGAGTCTCCACCCACCTGCTGTGCTTGTGTGGTGTTTCACAGGCAGGATTTCATATCTAAGTGGGAATGTGAATATTAATTACCTCTGGGTGGTTTCATAATGATAGAAATCAGGGCTGTCTGCAGAGGTTTCCAGTTCCTCATCGGGTGTGGAAGAGTGTGAATGCTAGCAGCCTCGCACAGTTAGATCACTCATGCTTGGGGACGCCAGTGTGACCACTGCTAATTGTGACCAGTGAAACATGTGTATCATACAGGGAACACCTTTGGCTTACGGTGTTTGTAAAGAACGAGCAGGTAATTTTGAGTTTTGTTGTGTAAAACAGCCTAATTAATATACACGTCATAGATCCTTCTTTCTCCCAAATCAGCTGAAAGGTGTTCTTAATGTGTTCTTTTAAAAAAATTGTTCTCATAGTTTACTGCACGCTTTTATTGCTGAAACGTTTTGCGATTCTGTACACCCCGACATCTTGATATCTGAATCTCTCTGCGCAGCGATTATGACATCCAGTGCAGGCCTGCCCACGGCTTTATCCACGTGCTCTCTCTCACCGACAACATCACCGAGTTCACCAGGGTGGTCCACGAGCAGCACATCTCAGGCAACATGGACACGCCTGAAGGAGGCTTCGACGCGATGCTGCAGGCAGCTGTGTGTCAGGTCAGTTCACCACAGGCGGCTGCACGGCCCTCAGATCGCGAAGGGACACAGGGCCGAGCAAGCAGACAGGCTGTCGCCACCTGTTTAGCCTTGTGTCTGATGGTAATGTACAATGTGTCTATATGCAGAAGGAATGGCCTTATGATTAAACCAGATATACCAGACATTATACGGAGGTTACAGACATCGTGAAACAGTATGTTAACATTTTTTTCTGTATAAACCAAAACAGAATGCAGGAATTGCAGTGTTGTCAAAACGACTATTGATATCTGTAGCATGTTTTAAATCCCCTGTGGACATGTTGAATTTAGTGCAGATGTGTGAAAGTCCCACTGGTGTGTTAAAATCGTCAGGCACTTCCAAGATATACTGTATATATACATATGGTTTCTAAACGGAAAAAAATGTCACCCATTTGCTCTCCATAAATCTTAATTGAAAGAACATTGTGCATTAGGGTTCATACTAGGAATGTAAATGTCTTTATCTGGACCCCACATGGAGGGGAAAAATTCCTGGGCTGTGCATTTCTGCAGTTCCATAAAAAATATTTCAAAATCTGTTTTTTTTTTTACGTGGACTTAGAAGAAAGCCAAGATGTACTTCAAGGTTTATTACCCATCTCATTTTGAGGTCTGATAAGGTTTGTCGTTGTTGAGTGAACAGCAGAGCCTTTCATGTTCTTGAAATGGTGGATTCTGCAGGGATGACAAATAACGGAAAGAGGCTGGGATGTGGGTTTGAGTCAGGAGCACACGTTACCCATACATTCCAGGCTGTAAGAAGTGGTCACTGGCTGCTTGTTTCTACACAAAAGGCTTTAATGAACAATAAAAGTGATGATAATGCGATTTCCGTTTGGGTTGGGATTGTTTGGTGCTGTACTTGCACACTGATGGGAAAAATGTTTAGGTGCCTCAGGACGGGGTAACAAATGAACACCTATGTACTGTATTAATGTGGAATACCACACGTGTGTAAAAACGATTAAAATAGAATATTTTCGGAATCTATTTGCAGTAATCATATATATGAACTAACAAGTTGATTGTTATATTGAGATCTCTAGTAGACTTTTTTTCCCATTTCGCCAGGGGAATCCAAGTGTTCTGATAATAGATGTTAATAAAGTGTAAAAGAAAACTTTCTAGTTGCAACCTGAGTGAGAATTGAGCTGGAAATCCCTGGTGACACATCCTGAGAAGTAAAGGAAAAGGTTCTGCCTTCACTGCACAGAGCGAGGCAGGGGACAGGCAGGCCTTGTGCTGGGTTGGGAACAGGGATTTAACACAATTCAGGGACCGAATGCCATTCGTGTTCCTCCTTAATTGCCTCAGTATCTTCACAGTACAGCTCTCTTGTAGGTAACATGTGAAGGCGTACATTCCAGCTAAGGCCACTTCGTGAGCAATCAAGGCCTTTCAGATAGAGACAGTACTCCTCAGATAGAGGAGATCATCTCTGAAAACCAAGAAATGAAACCAGACGTGCACAGTGTGGAGTCAGTGCTTCCAGAGAAAGAAAACGAAAAGCAAAAAATCCGTCCCTTATCGGAAAGCTCCCTTTTCCTGGAGGAGGGTGCACCACCTGGAGGCTGTCCCATTAGCCTGGGCTCCAAGGCAGAACTAATGAAAAATAATTACATTTCTACTGCTCTTTATATCCCAAACAACCCAAATTACATACCAGGGGGGTGTAGAGGATGCCATTCTACATTAAAATGCAGCCTCCTGCCGGACATGGTGTGCGTTTCCACATTTTGTGAGATACTATAGAGAGAAGGAAAGATCGGATTTGTCCAGGAGGATTGCTGGGGTGAAACTCAGAAGGCACAGCCCAGTTCCTTCACAGCGTGAGAGTGAAACATTCCCCTTTACCAATTACAGAACCACATAGGCTGGCGTAGTGAGGCTAAGCACTTACTCCTCATGATGACAGATCAGCCCTCTCATCTGGCGCTCGACAGCAAGCTGGCTGGGATCGTGGTGCCTCATGATGGGAACTGTCACCTGGAGGATAACACTTATACCCAGTCTGCCTACATGGTGAGTTTTGTGTAATTTGCTATGAATTGCTTGTTAGAATGCAAGACTTCTAAGCAACGTGAACCAATGCACGCACTGAAATAATTATCTGCATTCTGCATGCTCCTCTGACAATGTGCACATTTCCTAGAAATATTATTGTGGGTGTATTTGATCTGTCAGTTGCTGGTGTGCATCAGCTGAATGGCATAAGTGGGCATGCCAGGGTTTTGAAGGAGCAGCAAGGGAGTGAACTTCACTGAACGTTTTTCTTCTGAGCGTCTTTAGTTTGTTCAGTTTGGAAGGTGGTCACTGGTGGCAGGGTTGGTATCAGAGGAATGACGAAGGACTATTGAAATGCTGCCCACAAGGCAGTGGAAGAGAAGGTGATGCTGTTACTAATGCACAATTACTAATGCCCATCTGTCTGACCAGCCTAGAGATACCCCTCTTAGACACAGCTGCAGTCCAGTTCTTACCTGCGACCACAAAATACAACAGTCAAAAAGCCAGCTGGTGAATTTGACTCATATTTACCTTGGCTCTGTCTTATTAAAAGCCTGCTGTGAAGTTCATTTAGGAGAAAACACATGTACAAGTATCTATTTTTTAATAATTTCTGCATTTTTGTGTTGCAGGAGCATCCAACCATTGGTCAACTGGCTGACAAATTACTGGAGAATAGTGTTCATTCTATATTTGCTGTGGAGGAACTACAATATAAGTGGTATGAGGTAATTTCATAGAACACTGGATGTACTAAATAGCAATAACATTTACTGTATGAATAATATGCTGAAATATGTACTATTGTTTCTTTCTAAATAGGATCTCATTCCCTTAATGCCAGGTACATTTGTTGGAAAGCTTCAGCCAAAAGCATCAAATCTGAAAGACTTAGTTGTCCAGGCCTACAAGGTAATAAAAATCTTCTCAAAACAAACTGAATGATATTCATTTTCAAATCAAATCTAAAAAGCTGTATTGTGTCAAATCAGTAATAATTGACAAAACATTTACAAAGATTTTGAGACGTACAGTAATATCTTATTTGAGGGGATCACGTACTTATTCGAATATTTCATGCCATAAACAAAATTAAAATTTGAGATGTTTAAGTCAGTGTCTCATTCATATATTTTTCCCTGAAGAAGTGTTGCTAACTGGCAGAATACTGAGCAATAACTCGACCTGGCTAGCAGACATAATCGGTCTTCTGGAACAAAACGTTATTGTGTTGCTCTTGGAGTCTGTGAAATCCCCAGAACACTAGTAACACAATCTGCCTGTATCAGAGTTTGTAATACAGAATTCTCATCAGCATGGAAAACAAAGCTGTGATTTTCAGGCTCTGTTTTTCTCATATATTGTGGCTCAAAGGGTTTTTGTGTTTAACAACATAATCTTTGTTTTACTGAAAGGTGAATTTAATTTTGCTTTCACAGAGACTTCTTTCTGATGTGGAAGTACAGATACTGGTGCAGAACCAGGTGCAGAAACTGGCCGTTAACATCACGGCGCTGTGTCCTGGAGGGAACCCAGTACCAGGCCACAATAAATGCAGCAATGTGAAACCAAATGAAACAGTAAGTTAATCAGGATTTTAAAAAACACATACAAATGAAAACCCTGTTAGAAATATCAAGTGTTTGAAATGTTTATGTTAAACTAACAAGTTATCAATTCCCCATTTGCATATAAAAAACAAAAATGTAAAATTTCTGAAACAGGAGTAAAACTACCTTAGTTGTGTCTTGCCTTATTTAGAATTCTCTTGGCAGCACAATGTGCATCTGGGAATAGTAAGTCTGAGTGGTGCGATTGTTGCTTTTTAAAATGGCAAAGCAACATTCACTGAGTCAAAAACAGCTGTGGTCTGTGTTTCACCAAGACCATATCTTGACCTTCGATTTCTTGAAAGGAGTGGAAAGTACAGACGATTAGAGTTTGAGTGGAGTGTACAAGCAGACAGAGCAAAAAGGAAAGAACAGAGGTACTTTTACAGATTCTGAAGAAAGTGAGCTAAAGTCATGTGATTTCATGAAAGTGCCAGGAGCTCAGCTTGACATGGGTGAAACAAAGTTGATACTCAAGCAGATGTTTTGGCAGGACATTGCTTAGCGCTGCTTCCGTTAGCCACAGCATTCCTTGTTCTGTCCATTACAGTAGGGTCCCTATACCTGCGGATTTAACATTCACTAATTTGTGTATTTGCGATTTTTCCTGGCCCTCGTGGTCTTGTGTGGAAGAAGAGGAGCGCTGGGTGAAACTGAGCACAACTTTGAAATGAGCCGCACGACAGACTAGGGTGGTGAGACATATCTAGCTAGCAAGCCTGTCCCTGCCGCCTGCCCAAGTACCTACTGCCCAGCATCGGCATCTCAGCGTGGTCGCGTTTCTGTATCGTAATGAACGCTCCAGGTTCTGTCGGCGGCATGGGGAACTGTTACTGTCGTTACTGTTGTTTGTTTAAGTCGACTCATGGTATTTTAATTAACTTAAGGCCAATGTACCTATGGCTTTAGACTATATCCTGTAGTACATTATTCAATGGTCTAGGGGTGGACTTGGTTGTATGTGAATTTGGCTATTTGCAGTGGTTCTCTGCACCAAAACCCTTGCATTTGTTGAGATCCTACTGTATTTTAATTACTCTGAATACACTTGTAAATCCATTCTGTCAAAGCAGAATGTCTGTCTTTCTGCGTGGTGCCTATAGGCCAAATGGAAGCTCGGTGCGGGCTGTAGTTGTGCCTGCTGCTACTCTTGGCTCTAAAGGAGGAAACAATTAAAAATGGTGTGCAGGTTCTCCGCCAACAAGAGTGTGCTATGATCAGTGTGTTTCCTGTATGACCAGGGCCAGTCGTAATCACTCTCGCTCCTTCCTCTGAGTGTGCTGCGCTCCGCTGTGATCCCGCCTGTTTCCTTATTCATATTCCTGAGAGGCACAGCCTGGCCCGTCCTGGCAGAAACCCTGTCAAGCTGAAAGAGTGAAGGCCGTCAGTGGTTAATCTACTCAAGCTCTGACTGAATTTATTCATTTGTAGACAAATCTTTATTTTACACAGTCATTTAAAAATACTCCTTTCTGTATGAAATAGCTCTTACATTACATTCTGCAGTACAAATACCAGTACTGACACCTCAATGCCCTCATTTGTTCAAAATAGCGCTCCTGTGAATGCCTCATAAAACCTGTGTGTTGATTCCCATAATGCTCCTTTCTCTGGGATGCATTCTATGTCCTAAGCGAGTTATTTCTGTATACTAGCGCAAAAACAGCAAAAGATAAAACCAGATTTTGCTTCAGCAGTGAAGATCACCAATCTGTATCTGAACCTGACTGTAAGAAAATGTGCTCAGAGAATGAGTGGTTCTGCTTCAACAATCATCTCTTCTCCAGGGAGATGAGGAAACCTTTTCTCAGGATGGTAGCCAAACTGACACAGGGGTGTTGCATCCTTCTGATCCCGTTGTGTAATTATCAAGCCAAAGCACAAGAAATAACAGGAAGAAAAAACCTGTGAATCAGACTTAAGCTTGCAGTCTTTGTGAAAATGATCTGCATGTTAAGATACCATACAGGGAGATTCTGATGTCTGTAAGACAAAACCAATGTCTTCTGTGGGCCGTAGAGCATCTGAAATGGCAGTAGTAAGGGTGGTGAGGTGTTTTAATCACTGGTGAGGCTGATTTGCACCTGACAGATTTGACAGAAGACCGTGTGTGCAGAGCCATCTTGGTGAGGGTCATTCAGGCTGCTTTATTGTTCGAGCTGACCGGTGATGAGGTTGAAGGGATCCTCCTTTAACCCAAGAGCACCGTTGCTGCTCAATGATACATTGCTGAAGCCCTCAAGACATTTTTCTGTTCTGGCAAGGCAATCCAGATACCTCAATTCTCTGCCAAGACAATGCAGGCTTACACGGTACTGGGATCACAGGGACATGAGGTCCTGCCTCAGATGTGTTTCTCCTGGCCGGAATGTGGCAGGCTGTCTGTGGGACCAGCATGCCAGTGTCCTCAGCAGGAGAGAAGTGCAGCCAGTCAGCCTTCGCTTGGAAGAGTGGCAAAACATCCCACAGCTGTCTGAGCAGAGGCTGATCAGGTCTGTCCTTCAGCACTGCCCGGACTGTGTTGACGCTCAAGGAGCTCACACCCCATTCTACATTTGTAATCCTTTCAGTGTCAGTCAGTCACTTTTCACACTGAAAATGGACGATTCTTTGTTTTGAATTTTTGTTCACATTTTCATATTGTCATGCTGTCATATTTTTGTTTTGACTGTGATCTGTATTTAAAATATTTGATTGAATCCATCAGGCCTAAGGATTGTGTGACATGGCTATACGCATAGAATATTTGCATAGTTTAGGGCTCTTCAGAATTTGAAAATACCGAACTCATTTGTTTAAAAACGTTTTTATCTTTTTTCTGTTTTATAGGTTTTTTTCAACATAACCATTGGAATGAGGGAATGCGGGAATCAGGGAGAGGCGGTGGATTTCTTGATCAAGCCCGTGGGATTTAATGAGTCCACCAGAGTGAAAGTACAGACTGCTTGTGCCTGCCAGTGCACAGGGCCTGGGGCGCCCTCTTCTGGGAGGTGCTGGAATGAGCGCTCCCCTCAGGACTGCAGGTCCTCGGAGACGGGGTCCTGCACGTGTGAGCAGGGCGGCGAGGAGGGGGGCCTCGGTGAGAGCTGTCGGCTTGACGACACGCAGCCAGCGTGCAGTGGCCGAGGCAGCTGCTTGTGTGGGAGATGTGTGTGTGCCCGAAGCAGCCTGGGGCTTGTGTTCGGAAAGTACTGCGAAATGGACAACTTCTCTTGTTCGTATCACCGGGGACTTCTGTGTGGCGGTGAGAGTCATTTGTGCGTTATAAAGAAGATGGAGTTTTTATTTTCATTTAGAAAAAGATCTATATATGAAGAGTGCAGAGCTATCAGGAATTTTTTTTTTCATTCATATTTATTTAAGTGTATTCTGTATGAGAATCTCCTCAGGTCCTCAGCCCCTCAGCTGGAGAGTCTCAGGTTCAAATCCTGGGTGGAGCAGGACTGCTGTACTCTTGAGCATGACCTGTGGCTCAGTTTGCTCCAGGAGTTGTCAATGCAGCGTGTAGATGCTTAATGTGATGAGAATTTTTCTCTCAATCAACTTATCTTGTAGAGAAAAGGAATAAGAGAGAATTCATTACATTGTAGGCTTGTGAGAGATGAAGTCTAGTGGAGACCCTGTTACATCGTTACTCTGTTTGGATGTTTTACGGTTGAGACATAAAACCGAGGTCCTGACTCTCTGTGGTCATTAAAAATCCCAGTGTGTTTCTTGAAAGAGTAGGGGTGTTACCCCAGCGTCATGGCCAAATTTCCCCCTGGCCTTTCCCAACCATGGCCTCCTAATAACCCCCCGCTTCATCACTCTGCTCTCCTCCCCACTGAGAGCTGGTGTGTGGGGGGAGCGTTCTGGAGCATCATCCAGGTGGGGCTGCACACTGGTGGGGGTGGAGGGGATCCCCATGACCTGTAAAGCGCTTTGAGTGGAGCGTCCAGGAAAGCGCTGTAGAAGTGTAAACAATCAATGATTGAATCAGGCGAAGGATCGGACCACGCTTCCGCCCGCTTCATGTGCTTCTCTCTCTCCCGCACGCGGTCCCAGGCCACGGCCAGTGCGTCTTGGGGGAGTGCAGGTGTGCCAGCGGCTGGGAGGGAGAGAGCTGCAGCTGCCCCACGTCCACAGAGCCGTGCATGCCCACAGGCTCGGGGGTGTGCAGTGGGAAAGGCCGGTGTGTCTGCGGCCGGTGCCAGTGTGAGGACCCCAGACGCTCGGGCCGCTTCTGCGAAGTCTGTCCCATGTGCAATAATCCCTGCGAAACGAACTGGTAATCTTTGCTGTCTCTCTGTGTGTTTATGACGCTTATTACTCTTGTGAAGGGCGTATAGATCCTTTCAACCTCAAAGACACATGTCCAACCATTTTCAGTCCTTCTGCATTACGTAGGTCTCCTGTGTGTCTGTGCTTGGATGATCACATACCCACAACCAGACTAATTATAGGCAGCCGCACTGAATCCCAAACCACAATGTGATACGCTCTTTGTTTTTATTGTGTGAGCTTTTATCCGTGCTGTCTCCTGTTTCCAGGAAGTGTGTGCAATGCCACTTGTCAAGTGACTTTTCAGAAGTCAAAGCCACGCAGTGCAATGCGACATGTTTCCCGATGGTGCACTACATCGATGACATTTCTGGTATGTCCACTGCAATCCCAGCTGTTTCCCAGAAGTTCAACACTGTCAGCAATCATGTATGTCTGTGTTTAACGCACAGTAATGAAATAAAAACCCTAAAAAACACAATGACATAAAGGAATAAAATAGATCAGTCAGCTGTTCACAGTTGCACAGCAGTGAAGTCTGCGGTCATACCTTTTCTTTCCAATTCAGTTCAAAATCAAACACTGTCCTGAGCATAATAGGGCTTACCTGAAGTATTCATTGCATTTTAGACAAAAATCATTAGAAAAACAACTGCCCAGTCTGTACATAAAGGATGAAGAAGATGTGACAGCAATTCAATTTAAGTAGTATATATTAATTTCAGGTAACAGCACTATATATACTAATCACTGCAGCAGCTACAGTACACATGAACAAATTAAGATACAAATTGAGACATAAAGTATTTCATAGGGAAAAATAAAATTATTTTTGTTTTCTTCTTTAGAATCAAGAAGTGAAACCTCTAAATACTGCCTTTACCCAACCAGTGAAAACTGCCATTACAGGTTTCAAATGGATTCTATGTTTGGTGGTAAACAGATTCACATCATCAGATACCCAGGTAAGAAGCCAGACAGCGTCCCTTTGCTTCCTTCCATTACTCCCATCTGTGAGTGAACACCGTTTAGGATCTGTCAGCCTCGTGCAGCAGAGTGCAGGTATTTTCACAGCGTTCGCAAGAAGTCGGAGGTAATGTTCTGAACTGAGGACCTCCTTCCTTTTTAACTGCTACAGAACATTTTGCAGACACTGTTCAATTTAATGCCTTGTTATGTTAATTCCTCTTTCTGTTTCTCAGTTATAATGTGAAGAAACCTAATGTGAAGTGTTGACTGAACACTGTATATAGCTGGGGTGCATTTTGGAACCTGCACTCGTCTGCATAGCAGGTTCAGAGGTCACTGCCTAATTAAATAACTAGGTCTGCTAGTGACCCCTAAAGGGAGCTAAATGTAATTGCATGTCTAAGTACCTGTCACTGTCCCTGGTGTACTCTGTAGGCACATGAGTTGGACTCTTGGGATCTGGAATTAGTGAACAGTTCCTTTTCTGGGACTTTGCTTTAAGCAAGGATTTAGTACACCTTGCCTCACGGTACTGCCTGCCTCAGGGGGAAGATGTTTTGGATTTGCCCCTGTTTTGCATGATCACATTTGAATGGGAGTGTAACCCACATTTTACTGGGGCTCCCTAGGCCGCCCAACACCATCTGTCTGGCTGCTGCTCAGGACGCTGGGCTCAAGAGCGCAGCAGCAGTTGCAGACGAAACCCTTCCCCACTGCAAACCACAGCATAGCCACGTCAGTTCTAAGACCATGTGCTTCATTTTCTAATTTTAAATATTTTCATTTTCCATACGTTTTCCTCATTTCACTGCTTGGTATTATCAGATGAAGTTATTCTGAAATGTCACGATTTGCATCTCATTGGAAACGTCAAGATCAAATCCACAGGGATTTTGTCTTGAGAAAAACTAGAGGATGGCTTCCGTGAGCTTCTTCTGTGCTGTGATGTAATAATATAAGATTCTGATTGCATTCGTTATTGTTCTGAGTATATTAATTAAATATTTATTAAAAAGACTTACAGGAAAGAGTAGTGCTTCAACCTTCTGTTTCTAAAACAGTTGCTCTTAAATAGTGCTTGAACTGTACAGTAAGACTTCACACAATTTTATGTGCCTAAACTGTACAGTAAGACTATTCACAGTATCCTGTGTCCTCGAATTACACAGTAAGACCATTCAGTCTGTTTCATGGCCAACATTCTGTACAATAAATGATTATCCCTAAAAATCTTTTATATTAGATTCCTCTACAGTAACCACAGATGTGTTGCTCATCTCATTGCATTTGCAAGGCAGTGATCCCCTTGTTTAGATTCTGGCATTTGGGTTTTATTTTTCTGCAAGGTGGGCTTCAGTCCAAGATCATCACTCTCCTATCCGCTCTTCCCCTCTGCTGGACATGCAGCTATGCTGCTGCCTTCTCTAAAGAACAACAGAGCTGGCCTGGCCCCCCAGCAGCCCCCTCGACCACCTCTTCCCTGCCAGGTTTCCATAACAACGGACAAGAAAATGAACTTTTGTTTCCGTGGCTCAGCACTTCCGTGCCTCTGCATCTCACAGTTCTGCTAGCACTCAGAGGCATTGCTTTAGAAAATTAGTTTTTGATCCATTTCCTTTCCTTTTATTAGCCAATGAGCTTTAATTCAAATGACCCTTCAGTTACTGTTGGCTATCGTGTAGAAATCGCCTGCTGATTAAACACCAAACACTGCAAAGTCCTTCCATGTTCAGCCTGTGTCTGTCTACAGTTGCTGATCGAGTGTTCCTCGATCCCTGGACAGTATAAAGAGAGTGGCTACTTCTTGAATACATTCAGCTCGACTAGAATAATTGGATGTTTTACAATAAGTGAAAGGTATATTTAAAATGGTTCTCCAAATATGTTTAGGTTGACATTTTTGAAAATTTGACCACAATGAGGATTAGAAAATGCATCTACAGATGCAGCCATTCAAAGTGCGCGGTACACACACGTACCGGAGGTAATTGGCTACGGTGTCGCGCATCATGACGCACGATGACGCGCGGTACCGCGGTACGTGATTGGTTGACCGACAGGGGCACTCGTGGTCCGTTGGTCTGTCGTAGAAAGATTTACAGTAAACGTCTTTACTGTGCCCGTTGTAGTATTGAAT